CTCTTAAGCCTGTACTTCAATGGAAGATGTGAAATGCTTTTTACTTCTTTCTTTTGTGGCATTTCAACATCACCACAAATTCATACAACTGCAGTTTACCTATTCATATGCAACTACTGTCTGCATCTTTCGCTAAGTATTTTACTGGCTGTAACTTTTAAGACTGTTGACAAGCTACTTAGGTATTGGAAGCCAGGAGAAGAAAGAAGAAATTTGTAGACTGTGAAAATTACACAAGAGAGATATGATACATAATGCTCTTCTTAGGCAGAAAATAAATCCTTAGAACCCAAAGGGCAAAGGAGAAACTCAGATTGACCTCCTACTGTTGAATCAGCCATAAATTGTCTGAGTCATCTTTATTCTCAGCTATGAGAAAGCTCACAGTTCAATGGGGAATAAATTGCATAAAGAGCCCTGCAGAGTGCATAACCAAGACAAAGAGAAATGTCTGCCAGGATCATTTCAGAAGCATTAAAAAAAAGCCACAAAAAAACCCCAAACACTGCTGTATTGCCACTTCCCCAGTAAAGACTGAAAAAAAGACAAAGCCACAAAACCTATCAGTATAGCTAAGCACAGTTCAGGGCTGCATGCTAAGAATGTGGAAGTCCATTATGCAATAAGGTAAGTTTTTCACAAAATTTAGAGTGGTAGTTTATGAATGCAGCTCTGCTATCTGAAGTACAGACGTCAGTAACAGTCTCACAGATGCATACATTAAAGGATCTGCCCACTGCCAGAATTAGAGACATTCTAACCCCTGTGTTCAAAAAGGCAATTTTGGTAATTTCTAGAGGTGAATACAGGATGAAAGAATTACATCTCTTAAAATTTCAATAAGTACATCTATATGCATAACTGGAGGTGGAAAAAGAAAACAAAAGATAATATCAATTGTCATATTGTGCGATTCTGTTTAAATAGCACCACTTAATGTTTTTCATAGAATACCTAAATCTAAAACCACAGAGGTTTACAAGAACAGCAGAAGTTTGCATCTGGTGTTACTAAGTCTTTTAAGAAGGAAAAAAAACCTGGTCTCAAAGGAAAATTGAAAAGTGAGTGCTCTTGGACAGTAACTGGCCTTAGGAATCTACATTTATAGTCTGTCATCAATTGGTATTGCTGGGGAAACTAACTTTTGACTTATTTTAACTTATTTTCAAAATCTGATGCTTTTTTAAATGGGAAAATTGCTAGAAAGAAAAAAATAATGAAGCAACATCATAGGAATTCAACATCTGATAGAAAAAAATAAGAACAAGAGAGACTGCATAAATAATGCCTTAAACTAGCAGAAGCTCTTGACAATAACAGGAAATAACAAATGTTTACACAGCTCGGGTTCTGCCATACACATTCAGCTTTTGAGCTTTCAAAGTCTTACAGAATGTATATTTTTTCCTCCAGCTTAGCTAGTTGGATTGAGACTCCAAATCCATCCACTAGGATCAAGCAATAAAAGCAGGGTTCACTGCTTTGAATAGTGCTAATGAAGGTATCTGGAAAAGATGACAGAATACCCAGGTGCATGTTCTCAATAAATTTGTGAGTTGAAGAGGACAGATGTTTTCTGAACGGTTGACAGCAGTAGCTTATGAGACTGCTCTGCAGAGAAAAGCTAACATTTTGAAAGGTGTAGAGCTTAATATCACCAGAAGAATGAAGTCTGTTGAGACTGCTTTTCATACTACCAGAAGTTTCTGTACATCTTTAGATCATTTTTCTCATTAGGTTAGAAATAAGTTAGAAACAAGTTAGGGGAAAAAATATGTATGAAGTAACCTTTGCTAGAAAGACCAAGTGAATAGAAACTAGCTCTAACAAGTACATTATCATCCGTTAGTCTGCTAACTATCAACTACTGAAATCCGTTGAAATGCCGCTGCTTAGCAGAGTTGAGCCAGCGATTGAGAGCAAGCTCTAAGTGTAAAAAAACTTACTCTTCTTTGTTGCAAGAGAAACACTACACTTGGCATTCCTCTAATGTTAATCACTCTGATCTTCACCTTTTCTTTTACTTCTAACCTGCAGGCTGCTCATGAAAAAGTCATGTTCTCTGCAAAGAGAACCTGGCTAACATGTAATGTAAATATTCCCTGCTGCTGTTTCCAGCCAGCATCTTCAAGTCTTCTAGGGCTGAGGTACTGACTTTCACTTAGCCTTCAGCCAGGGCTTGGCCAGGCAGAGAAGTGAGCATGGGCAAAACTGTGCAGAGCATGCAGCTGAGACTAACTCCCTGTCACTGCCAGCGAGCTCAGGGGAGTGTGCTGCCAAGACACAAGTGGCACAGAGAGCAACAGCACTTCAGATGTTCCAGTGAAAAGTAAGATAGAATTTGCATACAGTCTTGCGTTATATTCGGTATCCCCTTAAGACCTGCTCAAATATCTAAGAAATAAAGGCTAACAGCTTTCCAGGAAAAGTAATTTTTACTTTTTCTCACACAAAACAAACTCTTGAAGTACAGGCTGGGAAGTTACACACAGCTTAGCTGTTAATGCGTCCCTGCAAATAAACATTCTCTGTACCAGTCAGTCCAGTCTTACAAAAACATTACAGACATCAGGTCTCCACAAGCAGACAATCCCCACCAAAGGACAGTCACTACCACTGGCACCTGGTGGTTGCTGTTCCCTTGTATCAGCAGAGAGGATTTGGTTGCATGGTTGTGGATACTTGAATCCTCATTCAACACCTTGTTTTGCTCTCCAGCTACCACATAAGCAAAAGTACAATTGCTTTTTTACTATGTTTTTGATGCATGCAGTTTGGCTAACTTCTGCTATGGAAGTAAAGAACATACCATGAGACTTTAAAAGAAAAGCTAAGACATCTCACAGACCTTCCTTCTCATCACCCAAATGCCTTGACTTAGGTGCTCAGATGATACTACATACTTAGCTTATCCAGATGCTTTAAGAAAAAACTGTAGCTGATACATATCTGGAGCACCTTTTCTACCCTGGGTAGCCATGCTAATAAATGATTATAAAGTACTGCTACTGCATACCTGTTCTTCTCTTCTATCTGTGTATCTTACCAGAAGTGGGCATAGAACTGTTCTTTAGACTTTACAGCTGATGAAGCAGAACATAAATAAGGTTGAATGCTCCCCCCAACATTCAAGAATGGAAATCATGTCACCTTGATACCCATTTATAGATTTGGATGTTCTTTACTGTCTTCCCAGTGACTTCTATGACATAAACTTATGTAATAGTACCATGACAACATCAGGTTTTTGGATCTTTTAATGCAGTTAAATTTCATATAGAAATCATCCACTCTGATGCTGCCTCAGCGTGACATAGCACAGGCAAAAAAAGCCAGGGGATCCACAGTGATTTGTGTCACAGTGGATCACAAACATTACTTGAAAAGAGTGAACATAAATTGCCAAGCTACAATATTAGCTGAAGTGATGTGACAGAAATAATACCATGCAATGAAGCAATTTCCTATTCACATGGAAGCAACTTCTACTTCCAAAATGTGCAGATAAAAAGAAGTAATCCAACATTTCATGAGTTTAACTTAAGTCACAATTTCTATGCCTCTCACTTTTCCACGGCATGTTGCTATATTGTTATTCATATCCTTTCTCTGTTTACCAGATGTCTCTAAATGTATTATCAGGGCATCCCACAGTAACCAGTGCTGGCTTCCCAGAACTAGTTGTAGATGTCTTGCTACCCTTCTCCTTACCTCATTATCACAGAACTTGTGTGACTATAGCATAATAATAAACTCACATTTAAATGCTTGCATAAGATTTTCCACTGGGGCTGAAGGGCTATATCAGCCATCATCACACAGATGTTTGCAAGCAGCGTGCTCCCAGCCACACTCAGATATGGCTGTGCAGCATCCTTATCCATATCTTTGCGGGATCTGACCCAACTAAGCTAGTTTTAGCACAGTTTGGTTAGCAGTTGTCATTCAGTCATGGAAGCCACTCTGAAAAACCGCACACGTGGCAAGTTCTACTGAATTCTTGGTGGGGCTGAGTGATCCATCCTAAAGCGGCTCAAAGAGTGCGCAATAGACCTATGCCATGCTGCAGCTCCAGCTCCACTGCAGGGCAGGTGTAATTGGAGCTGTGTCTGCTTTAATTAATTAAATTGAGAATAGTCTCAAAAATAAGATCAAGATTAAAGGAAAGTGTTTCAAATGGAGCTCAATACTCAATATGCATTATTCCCAAACGTCTCTGTAACACTGCAATGCAATGGGAAGCACAGTAATGACAGCAGAGTAGCAAAGCCCTAGGCAGCAACAAGAGAGGACTTCCTCAAATACAATAGCCATAGGCACAGAAACAAAGAAGCCGTTCACCTTCAGAAGACTTCACATACACAAGGATGTCCAGCAAGATGCCCTTACCTCCATTGCCAGTCCTTAAATGAGGTCTGGAAAGGGGCGAATCCTGGCTTCAGCCCTTCTAGTCACTCAGGGGCATTGCATGCACCTGAGCTCCCCTGGATTGGCCCTGCCTTCCCACCAGGTGCTCAATCACTGCTTCAAGTTGTGACTTAGCATTTCTGCTATAGTCTCCCATTCCTTACAGACTGAAAGACTTTGAACAACCACTATAACATTCTGTTCTACCGCTCCTCATCTTTAAGATTGATAAATGAAACATCTTCCATACTGAGTATTATCAACAAGCCCTTTCCACCAATATCCATAAGAGTCCACCTCAGAGGTACTTCACTCTGTTGGATTCTGGAACTTCAGAACGTTAAATCCACATAAAATTAAATTGTAGAGTTAAAGACCCCTTTTCCACACGGCCTCTCATGAAAGCACTGAGAAACAGTTACAGGGACTACAATTTTATTCACAACTGCAAAAAGAGATTGACAACTAACAGATAACAGTCCATATTGAAATAAACATAAATACATTGATAAATATAAATCAGTTGCTACTAATAGCATTTCCTTCAAAAATACACCCCAAATACTTAACAATTTATCTACAGTTAGTTTTACCTCCAGTAGCGTGAAGCATGGCAATGCCGTGTGGTTTCTCTGAGATGCATGCCTGCTGTTTGTAATCATGTTCATCTGTGAAGAGAACAAAACTATATTACATCCACCTGTAAGAAGCCAGCACTACTGAGAATAGCATGCCCACAACAGACTATAATAGGCCTAAATAGAACATAAGCATATCAAAATAAGAAATGGTGAGACATACAGCAGAGTAAAGGACTGCACGTATCATTCTTTTTTTTCTGGTATGAGGGAGCTTCAAGTTAACTTAGATTTTACTATTATACTAAACTGATTCCAGCCATTTTTCTCCTAAATAAGAGTACCTATGCAATGATTTGCACGTAAAATTTTTTATTCACATCCCTACTTAATTCGACCTCTTCTATTTCCAAACAGATATTTTATCTCTTTTCAGCAGAGTTTTTCTAGGCTTCATTGTCTTCAAAGAAATTGAAGTATGCTCTTAAAGTTTATGTTACAGGGCTTTGTTGAGACACATTGAATGAAGGCTTAAAAGTTTTCAGTCTAGCAAGCTTCTACAGAAGCATGAGAACACAAGACTACAGTGAATTACCAAGCTGTGAAGTCATGTCTTGCAATCACAACACAGTAGATTTCTGGTTCTAGAAGATCCACAGACTATTTATTCTTAATATCACAAATACAAACAATTTCATAGTTCCTTAAAAATGAAACAACAACAACAAAAACAAACCTAACCTGCAGTCAAAGAAAGAGGAAAAAAAAAAAAAAAGCTATGACTGCCTAGAAGAAAATCCTGCAGAGCTAATCTCTGCTGCAGAAAAAGATGAGCAGAAGCCACACATTGTAAATATGATGCTCCTAGGAGCCAGTCCATAAGTCCAATAGTAAGTTAACTTAAAATCTCAGGAGGAGTTAGCATCTTTGAGAACTAAAAACATGCTTTTATGTGCTAGGCAGCCCTTCGAGATCTCTCTTTCTTAAAATAAATGAATAATTGCTTTGATTAAAATTGGTACTTTAAATATTAAATAAAAATAAATTCTCTCTCCTGTCTTCCCAAGGATACAAAAAGAATCATTTAGCTTTCTCTTGTTTTTCTCAGCTGTTACCCATTACTGTTCATTCCCATCTAATAACTTTTTTCTATGATCTCTTCTTCCTGTCTCCCTGCGTTTCTCCTCCAGTTTCTTTTCTCTTAAACTTTTTCCTCATTCTTCTTCCCTCACATTGCACATCCATCTCCCTGCTTCTCCATTTCTCTCTTCTGTGCCTCTCCCAAATCCCTCTTTGATTTCCCTTCTTCTGATGCATCAGTCAGCCGCAACCAACTCCTCTTTAACTTCTGCCTCTGGACTTCCCTCATCTTGTGCTCTGCCTGTATGTGTGTATTTCATACAGGTCTCAGCCATATAGGCTGATGCTTCCAAGCAATACCGGGAAAACACACATTGTTGTTTGTGTACAGTCCAGCCCTAGCAGTGTGCTGAGCAAGGAGGATGCCCCCTCCTCTCACAAATATGGCTGGGGAGCATGACACAGGGCTTCCATCCCATCAATCAGTAAAATGTGGAGACAGAGATACTGTTCTGCTCAGTGAGAGTTGTGCTTGCACCAACTGGGGTCTCCCTGGGAGCTGTTAACTTATCAGCTGGGACCTGTCACTCCAAACATTTTTAGCACAGTCTTTGGTGCTATCAAACACAGCAGTAATTTTCTGTATTCAACTTGTGTTTACTCAAAGCAACAAAAAAGAAAATGCTCCATAAACAAGCAGTATGGCACATCTTGAAATCGCTCAGACTGTTAAAGGCTGAACTTATTTATCAAGCAAATAGAAGATGATGGCTCTGCTATTAATCAATTTATTTGTATGTATCCCAGGGCAAACTCCATGGTCATATTCCACTGGATTTAAATTTTCACTTGGTGAGTCCCAGGGACTTACTGACGTTCATAACACTTAATACTTATATAAGCATTAATACTGTATACAGGGATGTGCATGCACAGCTATGTAGATTGGGCTACAGGCTCAGCTCAATAAAGAGATGTCAACATAGCAGTTATTTATTACTTATTGAGTGGTTGAGAGCACACTGAAGAGACTAGAACAAGCTCTGGGCATTAAGGACCAATAGGTAGCTGCTCTTCAGCTGTTACCTCAGGAATAAGAATAAACAAAGATTCCTCTTCTCCAGCACATTACCACAAGAGAGACACATTTTTGCTCATGTCACTTAAGTACTGCAGCTCTGTGATAGCCAATGCCTAAAACTCTCAACGCACCAAAACGAGGATGAACTGTAGACCCTGTGGTGTATCCCAAAGCTTCCTTTTCTGTAACATGGAGGCAGACACTTGCTGAAACACACACATACCATATGTGAAATTGCCTTTCCACAGTTTGTTGCTATGGATCTGGAGGAAGATGAGTAAACCCAAATGAGACATCAATGAGCCACCTGTGAAAGCATGGCAGAAATGCTACAAGCATCCCTATAAATAGATCTCAGAAAAGAGCTCCTTCTGTTTTAGTAATAGGAAATCTCTTCTTGTAACTAGTTACTAGGCAGCCTATGAAACAATTACTCTGGCAGTAACCCACTATATGCATTAGCATGCCTGCCTCCAGCTGCTGTTCTGGGGAAGATGCCTAACCACAGTCTACAGGATCAGTTCCCCAGACAAGCCTGCCCTTGCCATACGCCATAACCAGTCTGCCTTGCTGCTAAACAAGGGAGTCATACTCATATCTGTGCTCTCTCTCCCTTTTTTGGAAAAAATACTGTGGGCACATGCTCTCAGGAAGAGCTCAGGCCAGTAGAGTGTGCCTGAGGGACAGCATCTCTGCAACCTGGAACGAAGGCTGCTTATGAGCCACCACTAAGTTTTCCACATAAAATGAAATCAAGCATCTTCCACTCTGAAAAGAAGTCCCCAAATTTACTCAAATCTTTATTACTTGTTTTATCCATTTACTGCCATTTGTACGAATGTTTTCTCCCACGTCCTTCTTCTGGTGAAAGTCAGCCTGAAGAAAATTTGGGAACCTGGTATTGCCCACCTTGCACAGCTTGTTATACATGTGCCAAAAGTTGGAAGAGACCCACAAAAAAAAAAAAAAAAACAAAAAAAAAAACAAACCCACCAAATCCAACCCCTGGTTCCACACAGGACCACCCATTATTTGAAGCCTGTGTCAAGGACCAATGCCAAATGCTTCTTGAATTCTAGCAGCTTAGTACTGTGACCACTGCCCTAGGGAGTCCTTTTCAGTGCCCAGTATTATAGTTGTGTATTCCTTCCTTCCTGTAACTCTTCCTCCTCTTACTGGGAGTTTTTGTGTTGGTTTCATTTTCAGGTCTGTTCCCCCACCCCCCACAAAGGTTTCACCTACTTTCCTAATCTTCCAGCTGGTAGTTTCAGTAAGACAGCACCAGAAGATATCATGATCAAATACCTGGGAAATATATATACGGCAATAACCTCCTGAATGATAGCATGAAAACAGGATATTTTCACCCTCAGAGAATTGTTCCATCTGAAGGAAGGCGATATGCTCTGCATAACTGCCTAGAGCTCTGGCTGCAGAGGTGTTTAAAATGAAAGAGACAGGGTCTTATTGTATCTGGAGTCAATAATGAAACAAAAATGCTACACAAACATGGCTTTTATGCTGTGTTTGGTCTGTTACTTATCTATTTTCAGTTTTATAAATGGTACTTGTCAGTATAAATCTTATGTCTTCTACTTTTTTTTTTTTTATTAAAGGAAATTTGTGCACACTTTTAAGAATGTTTTAATGGTAGGAAATACCACTGGATTCTGACATGCAGCAAGATAGTGGTATGAGTGTGCTAAAGGAGATTGCAATCTAATGATGCAATTTGCAGACCTTTATGCACATACGTAGCATTCATTTAAGAACACATTTGGTGCATTTGGACAATTAAGCAAAATTTCCTATTGTTTTGAGACACTGAATCGTGCACAACAACAATCAGAACGTTACTAGATTGAAAATAATGCTATAGTCTAATCAGGTTTTACCTTATTCCCAGAAACCATTATTAGTAAACATTAATGAACAATAGGAAGGACAAATGAAGAAGTCCTATTAGCTTTATGACAGCAATTTGAAAATAAGGTGCTTAACTGTAATATCTTGGCATCTATGCAACCGCAATATTTCTCACTTTGTTCCACATGAATCAATTCAACTGTGGTTTTGCTTTGCTCTATGTTAATTCCCACCAGCCTAAGTACTTCAGAAATTCATCATTAATACTGCAATTAAATGACAAACTACTTCTTGCAGTTAAATAAAAAAATATAAAAAAAATAATAATAAAAAAAAACTTGAATGAATTTGTCAAGTCCCAAAGCAAGTTTCTCCATGGCAAAGCTTCCATAAAATCAATGCTACCTGCCTGCTCATCCACACAGTAAATGTTGCATATTGAAAAAATATATATATATAGCTCTGGGAAAAGTAGAAACTGTCTTCAGCAAATCTCAGGGAGACCTACAGGTCTCCTGGGTTTCCCTGTAACATGATCTCTCTCTTTTTCAATAGTAAGTGCTAAGGAATGTGACTCAGCCAACACATTTTTACAAACCATCTTTCTCTTAAAAAACAATTTAAAAAAAATACAAATGATCTTTCTTGCAGGCTCCAGATCTGCCAGAGTAAGCAAAGAGCCAATTCTCTCCAGTAGAAAAATTTTATTGACCTCCTAAGATTATTGTAGCAAAAATATGTAGAACACAGTTCATACTGACAGTCAAGATGCTGGAGAAATATCTGCTGTTTCAGGTAACTAAGACACAGAACACAAAAAAATCAAAATCAACATTTCAATGAACATCCAAAAGCGAAGTGTGAAGTGAACGAAATCTAAACTACGTAAAAGTAGGCTGCTATCATCTGAGAGCAAAAAGAACAATTGCAAATCACCGTGGTGAGAGCAAGCAAATGCATGTAACTGTTTTGCTACTTGAAAATTAGTAAGTGCTACTAACTGGTGAATCTTTAGTCATGAACTTCATGACATCTTTCCCTCTGAAGCTTGAGCAATTCCTCT